TAGAAGAGATTCAGGAATTTATCTGAACTGGGAATGCATAGTGCTAGCCCTTCAAGGGGCCAGACAAAAAGAATTTCACCTCAGGTGTGAAAGACAGGGTGGTCAGCTCTCTCCTCCCATGGTGGTACCCTTATCTCTGTCACTGCCTCTGTGGTGGGCAATACCACACATTGGGCCACCCCAACAATAGGTAACTTCTGGGAAACCAAACTTACCCCATAAAGAAAGGAGTCTAGAGAGTCAAGGGCAAAACCGATGAGCTCCAGAAAAGGGGTAATGGAGACACAGGAACCATTAAGGTCCTTTAAAATACTCAGACATTCTGATTACAGTGAGTGCCCTAGATATTAAGAACTTCATCCTGCCAGCTGCCTGTGGAAAAGGGGAAGGAAACTCCTGATGCCATGGCAGTGGATTACTTCAACACCCCCCCCCTCCTCCCACTCCCTGCTTGGAAGGGCTCATTTTGCTTTGATTGTGAAGACACCACCCAGGCACGTTTCGAGCATTCTCAAGCTGGTGGGTCATTCAGTGCACTACAGTACAGAGACTGCTAACAACTGTTTGTAGCTTGTGGGATGCTAGAAGTTATAGAAAGTGATCACAGAACACACTTCTCCAGACATCGGGTACTAAGGGCCCATTATTAATTGTCATGTGGCAGTTTAGGAACGCCCCTCTCACTTTCTATGATACTGATTGGAGGGCCCCTGGGTCAGATCAATGGTACACTAGGCCAAGGAGGCCCCTCCAGAATGTTACTTTACTGTCTCAATAGAAAGAAAGGCTGGACCAGCTGGTGGCATGGTAATTTAAATGGCTGGATCCCACATGGTCGACTGTGTGGTTCAAGTCCTGGACCCAGAGGCTTGGTACATGTCCACACATGCTCAACACCATAATAGGAGAATAAAGAAGGGATTATGGCATGGTCATCCCCCCTGGGGATGCTTTCTCACCTAGTTTCTCTCTCTCTCTCTTTTTCTAATGAGTGCATGTACCTTATAGCAAATTTTTTAAAATAATAAAAAATAGAAAGGTTACTAGTATCTTACCTAACAGTCGAGATCTACCTTTGCTGTACCACTAGAACATTTGTCTTATCCTTAAGCCTAGAAGCAGAGAACACATTTCTGTAATGGGATAGTACCCCCACACGAATTCCCACTATTGGCTACATCTGGAATGCCATGAAAAATGTGTCTCACCAATCACTCAGAACGGATCTTCTCAGTAACACCCATAATGAACTGGCAAGCCTTGATGAGGCAAAACTGCCTATTTTCAAATTAATACATGAACACGTAAAAAAGACAAGATCTGTCTTGTGATACACCATTCAGAATGGTCTCTGCTGGCTGACAGCTGTCCAGATGATTAGGGAGCACACTACCTACTGTAATCAGCACTTTAACCGAAATCCCACAGGACGTGGGGCGGATACCCACTGAAATATGTACACAAATCATTACCCTCACTGAAAAGGATTGTTGGAGATGGCAAAGCCAAATCTTACAGCTGGAACACTCTGCATTAGGGATCATTCTGGGTTACTGGCATGCACGGTGGCCGTATCTGCCCTATTATCAGGCAGGCTGGTGCACTGGAGACAGCCCTGCAGAGCAGGGAGAGTCTTAGATACCCTCCCTTCCAAACCGTCCAACTGGGATAGGTTAAATGTATTGCCTGGCAGTTTTACCCACTATTTTTTCTCCACAAGCAAGCAATATATATGTAGAAAAGGCAGTAGCAGCTCTTACTAATCACACAGCAAATGCTTAAGTATACTAGATATTCCATAGCTTTGTTAAATGATAAAGTAACTCAAATGCATAGGGCAGTGTTACAAAATAGAATGGGTTTAGACGGCTGCTCTAGGAGGCACCTGTGCTATTCTTAATATGGAAAATTGTGTGTACATTTCTGATAATCAACATAATACACCTATGTCCTTAAGGCTCTGAATACAGAGAACACTTACATCTCTAACATGGCCAAAGAACCTTTGTCTAGTTTGGCTCCTTTAGCTCCTTTTGAAAAAATTTTATTATTAATATCATTGCTGTAATTTCCCTGATACTACTTGGAACTTGTGCCCTCTATTGTATTTATAGGATATGGATACAATGTTGCACCTAACTCCAGGGAACTAGCAGAAGGAGTTAGGTGCAACATTGTATCTATTAATGGATTAATGACCCATGAGAATGTGAGGATGGTATGAAAGTCCTCAAGTGTGGGTATGCTCCATACACTGAACTTTCTTGACCACCTCCCCTTACCCCTGTTTTTTCTGAGAGCTAGCTACAGGCCATAGCTGGGGCTTGGAAGCATTTTTTGGCCCTACTTTTACCTCATAGAACTTACTCATGGCCAGGGTATTCTGGAGGTATGCATCCCACCCCTCACACACACACACACACACACACACATGCACACACACATATATTTAGGTTTAGCTATAGGGCACATGTGCTCACCAGAGAGAGAGAGAGAGGGAGAGAAAGATTGAAAGAGGGAAAGTGAAAAATCACACCCTGTAGGGGGATGGCCACACCTCAATCCCATCTCCTGTATTCTCCTCTTCGGATTTTGGGCATGCAAGCACACACTTTGAAACTGCCCAGACCTCAAACCGCAGTTGGATAAGATAACCTTCTACTATAATCCTCAAACAATGTATGTAGAAACAAGACCCCTGTCTTGGAGGCAGAAAGTGCCTTGATCTTGGTTTATGTATGCTTTGTTCTTTTTCTTTTTTTGTGGGGGTGGGAGTTTTTGCTCTAGGGCATGAGCATTCGCCAGGACAGAGAAAGACAGAGAGACAGAAAGCGAGAAATCAGCCCTCAGGAGGGTATGGCCACAGTCATTCCTTCTCCTCTTGGGATCTTGAGCACGCATGCGCATGCACCTGGCTTAAGTTTAAGCCACCAGGTCTGGGACTCAAACCTCGGTTGACTACATGGGAGTCCAGTGACATAGCCATTATGCCAACTGCTGGTCCCGTATGCTTTGTTCTTATCATATTAGAACCTAAGCTTGTGCTTTTCGATGATAGGAGATCACTTACCCACCACTGTCATCAGTACATTTTGGCCTGCTCTGCTCTATATAAGTAAATAAACTCATGTTTCCTCCTGCTGGTCCTCTAGATATGTTCTTTGGAATCAGTAAACATTATGGGCAAGCCCTAACACATTTGGGGCTTACACCTTACAAATACATATTGGATCTTTGGGAAAGTCATGAGACATTTTTGCATAGAAAAATACACCATGGGACCAGCAGTTAGCGTAATGGCTATGTCGCTGGACTCCCACATAGTCAACCGCGGTTCGAGTCCCGGACCCGGTGGCTTAAACTCACACTGGGTGCGTGTGTATGCGTGCCCAAGATCCCGAGGGGAGAATGGAGAAGAAGGGATTGCAGTGTGGCCATCCCCCCTGGGGGGTGATTTCTCACTTTCTGTCTCTCTGTCTCTTTCTGTCTGGCTGGCGAGTGCACGCGCCCTCTAACAAAAAGCTCTCCAAAAAAAATAAAAATAAAGAAAAGAAAAATACACC